TTTTTAAATGGCAAATGGAATTGCCGATCAAGTTACCTTTAATTAATGATAAGTATGTCATATATCTAACTTTAGTAATTTTGTAGTAGTCTATGTTTATCAGTTTTTCTTTGTTCTTCCTTCTATTATTTGATTAATATTTTATAATGTAAAATAATTTTACTGCCATATACCAGATTTTAATGCGACTTGGTACTTTGTGAGATTTAAAAACATGTAAGTAATGAAATATGCAATTATTCTGTTATATAATTTACGACTTTAGAGAAAATTAGATGCACATGTTAAGAGATGCCTCAAGATCTTTTATACAGCGCATTAATGCTTGTAGAAGAGAAAATGGGCGGCATTTTGAACACCTTGTAAATATTAATTAAATTAATTTTATTGCTGCATTTACTTCAAATAAATTAGTAATTAAAAAAGGGATTTATTGTTCTGCCATTTAATTGTATGTTTTGTATTTTTATCACGTTTTGATTACTTAATTATTAAAATTTTTTCATAAATTGTATTTTAATATAATATTACTGATTTACAAATGACAGACAAACCAAAAAGAAAAAACAAAAAAAAATTACAAAGAAAGGACATTTTATTACACATTTTTCTTGAAATTCTAAATATTAGGAAAACTATTAAAGTTAGACATATGACATATTACTTATCATTAATTAAAGGGAAGTAGATGAGCAATTCAACTAGCACACAATATACAGGCTTTTCCATTTAAAAAACTTAAGAAAAAGCCATTTAAGAAGCATAAAAAGTAACTAAACTTTATAAACAGCCTGTATGGTGTATCTAATATCTTTGAATACTATCGTCTACCTACTGGCTTTGACTATTGTCTGATGTAGTTTCAAGGCAAAATCGTTTTACATTTTATATCGTTTTTAAAAAGATCCTGTAATGGGCACATTTTAGAAGAACAATTGAATATTTCAGGAATATGAACGCTCTGAAATAGTAGTTGTATTCCTAATATGATAAAATAAACATAACGGTTTAGTATCTATCGACCGCCGGGATACTAATAACTCACCTTGTATAATCAAAAACCTGCAACCTTAGTTGCATGCAAAACATTACCTCATTTACGCCATCTGTTGAAATCTATTAGTACCAAACATCTATTTGTCCATACAAAATTGTGTTGAAGAGCACCAGGGATGATATTGAAATAATTGCTTGGAACGAAATATGTTTAGATGATGTTGAGATGTCCTAGAAATTATATATGGGGAATTTCATATAACTCGTAATATATGAATGTAGTAACCATAGTTACGAAACTCCTATGCACTTGCACTGTCCCACATAAAATACAACATAGCTTAATAGTACAGACATTGGGTAATTTTGCTTGAAAACCCAACCCAACCCTGAATTTTCGGCCGTCATAAAAGACGCACTGCTAAACCCGAATGTTTTTGGTTCTAGGTCTAGTGTTAGTTCTACGTTTCGTTCAATAAAAATGTACCGCAACCTAACGCTGAATAACAGTTAAAACTAGAAGTAACACTACACTTACAACTAGAAACATTCTGGTTTAGCCGCACGTCTCTCAAGACGGCTAAACTCGAATGATTCTAGTTCTAGATCTTGTGTTAGTTCTAGTAATAGTCTTAGTGTAAAACTAGAAGTAACACTAGAAGTAGAACTAGAAACATTCGGGTTTAGCCGCACGTCTCTAAAGACGGCTAAACCCGAATGATTCTAGTTCTAGGTCTTGTGTTAGTTTTAATGATAGTGCTAGTGTACAACTAGAACTAACACTAGACCTAGAACTAGAAAATATCGGGTTAAATCTTTCTGGTTCTAGGTCTAGTTGTTAGTTCTAGTTTAAATTCAATAAAATTATGCAACATAGTGATATCTGATGCTAACTAGCGCTACCTATCGCTGTCACTAGAACTAACATTAGACCTAGAACTAGAAACATTCGGATTTAGCCGCACGTCTCTCAAGACGGGTAAACCCGAATGATTCTAGTTCTAAGTCTTGTGTTAGTTCTAGTTTTAGTTCAAAAAATTATGCAACATAGTGATATCTGATGCTAACTAGCGCTACCTATCACTGTCACTAGAACTAACATTAGACCTAGAACTAGAAACATTCGGATTTAGCCGCACGTCTCTCAAGACGGCTAAACCCGAATGATTCTAGTTCTAGGTTTTGTGTTAATTCTAGTTATAGTGCAATAAAAATATGCAACATAGTGATATCTGATATCATTTATGTTATCTTCAAAATGTTATTATTTATATTATTCTTCAAATGAGTCACACTGGCAGTCCCGCTGGCAGGGTNCTTTAATTAATGATAAGTATGTCATATATCTAACTTTAGTAATTTTGTAGTAGTCTATGTTTATCAGTTTTTCTTTGTTCTTCCTTCTATTATTTGATGAATATTTTATAATGTAAAATAATTTTACTGCCATATACCAGATTTTAATGCGACTTGGTATTTTATGAGATTTAAAAACATGTAAGTAATGAAATATGCAATTATTCTGTCATATAATTTACGAGTTTAGAGAAAATTAGATCCACATGTTAAGAGATACGTCAAGATCTTTTATACAGCGCATTAATGCTTGTAGAAGAGAAAATGGGCGACATTTTGAACAACTTCTAAATATTAATTAAATTAATACCAACTTGTTGAGCAACGTTTAGTAATTGTTTATAGTTTGTTGCTTCATTTACTTCAAATAAATTAGTAATTAAAAAAGGGATTTATTGTTCTGCCATTTAATTGTATGTTTTGTATTTTTATTACGTTTTGATTATTTAATTATTAAAATTTTTTCATAAATTGTATTTTAATATAATATACAAAAAATAATTACAAAGAAAGGACAATAATAACATTTTATTACACATTTTTCTTGAAATTCTAAATATTAGGAAAACTATTAAAGTTAGACATATGACATACTTATCATTAATTAAAGGGAAGTAGATGAGCAATTCAACTAGCACACAATATACAGGCGTTTCCATTTAAAAAACTTAAGAAAAAGCCATTTGAGAAGCATAAAAAGTAACTAAACTTTATAAACAGCCTGTATGGTGTATCTAATATCTTTGAATACTATCATCAACCTTACTGGCTTTGACTATTGTCTGACGTAGTTTCAAGGCAAAATCGGAAAAAATGTCATTTTTACATCGTTTTTAAAAAAATCCTGTAATGGGCACATTTCGGAAGAACAATTGAATATCTCAGGAATATGAACGCTATGAAATAGTAGTTGTATTCCTAATATGATAAAATAAACATAACGGTTTAGTATCTATCACCGCCGGGATATTAATAACTTACCCTGTATAATCAAAAACCTGCAACCTTAGTTGCATGCAAAACATTACCTCATTTGCGCCATCTGTTGAAATCTATTAATACCAAAAGTCTATTTGTCCATCCAAGATTGTGTTGAAGAGCACCAGGGATGATATTGAAATAATTGCTTGGAACGAAATATGTTTAGATGATGTTGAGATGTCCTTGAAATCATATATGGGGAATTTCATATAACTCGCAATATATGAATGTAGTAACCATAGTTACGAAACTCCTATGCACTTGCACTGTCCCACATGAAATACAACATAGCTTAATAGTACAGACATTGGGTAATTTTGCTTGAAAACCCAACCCAACCCAACCCTGAGTTTTCGGCCGTCATAAAAGACGCACTGCTAAACCCGAATGTTTTTGGTTCTAGGTCTAGTTCTAGTAATAGTGTTAGTGTAAAACTAGAAGTAACACTAGACCTAGAACTAGAAACATTCGGGTTTAGCCGCACGTCTCTAAAGACGGCTAAACCCGAATGATTCTAGTTCTAGGTCTAGTGTTAGTTCTCGTTTTAGTTCAATAAAATTATGCAACATAGTGATATCTGATGCTAACTAGCGCTACCTATCACTGTCACTAGAACTAATATTAGACCTAGAACTAGAAACATTCGAATTTAGCCGCACGTCTCTAAAGACGGCTAAACTCGAATGATTCTAGTTCTAGGTTTTGTGTTAATTCTAGTTATAGTGCAATAAAAATATGCAACATAGTGATATCTGATATCATTTATGTTATCTTCAAAATGTTATTATTTATATTATTCTTCAAATGAGTCACACTGGCAGTTCCGCTGGCAGGGTCGCCATGTATTGCTTCTTATTAAATAGAGAACCGTTTTGACACATACCAAAGACCTTTTTGTATTAACTTTGAAACACTTTATATTTAAGTATCATCATTTTTAAAACTAGAACTAACACTAGCATTAGAACTAACACTAGACCTAAAACTAGAAACATTCAAATTTAGCCGTCTTAAATGTTTTAACTAAAAGTAGGACTATCTAATACAGAACGCAATGGTGTGGATAGCTGTTCGAATTTGTGTGCATTCAAATTTTTTGGATGGGTTGGGTTGGGTTGAGTGCTTTTCTTAGACACAATATATCAAAATATAAAAATAGCAATTTATAATAAACGTTGGAAATTGTATAAATAGTGGTACTACTTTTGCATTATAAATAAGCTGTCGTAGCACTTAAAAATCAATCCAAGCTCCATTTTATAGTGGTATGACGTGCAAATTTCATGCATTACCGCCCTTATTCCAGCAATCACCACGCCATTTTCCAATTATCCACGGTGCATGTATCTCCAACGATCGCGCGATCTGCAATTTACTCCATTACGACCCAATTAACTTAAACAGCTACCATCAAGCGAATGCTGACAATATTTTTTGATTATTTATATCTCATTTCAACTGATTTAGATTTAAAATAAAAATTGATATGAACTTAATTTTGTGTATTTTTTGTGATAAAGTGTAAGTTAAACCGTTTCGAAAGGAACCCGATTGCACTTATAATTAGTTCGCCTTTTGTAGAAGGCCGAATATCGCCTTCACGGAAATTCCGTAATTTATCTTAGCTCGAAACTTCAGAACTAATCTCGAATTCCACTTACTTTCAGGTTGGCGGTTCCTCTTTTTATCAATGATCTCCATGGCGACGGCAATGCTGTGCAAAGAGCAAGGAATAACGGTCGCGGGAATATGCGCAGCCTACGAAATTTTCGTCTCCCAACGGGTGAGCATTTTATAATCTAATAGGATAGAAATGCACGAAAGGATTATCCCGCTTTCCATAACACCGGAACTAGGATTTCCAATTACATTCAATTATTCTGTTATCTTACGAATGAAATCCTCACCGCTGCCATTAGTTCCCCGGTAACGGCACTCCACGGAAAAAGAGCTGGTTCTCGTAGTAAATTTTTATTACGTTCTCAAGAAAGAAAGAGAACAAAATCGAATTTTTCCTCCTACGTGCCTCCAACCATCCGATAATACATTTGTACCCTTCCCCAAAACAGAGATAGATTTCGCTGTCCCAGCATCCATTTGGACCCCTTCAAAATCGACCACCCTTCGTCATGCTTCAATTAACAACCACTCTTTTTTTCGTTCCACCCCCAGATGCGTCTCCAAGAGATCAAATATCTTCTCAAATCGGCCATAACAACCAAATCGACACCACAGCTGTCGTTGTCACAAGAAGCGACCAAACGACTCGCCGTACTCGGAGTTACAACAATTTGTCTCCTATTAATCAGATTACAAATTATGGGATCACAACTTCCTGTCTTTACCAGATTCGATAATCCTGCATCGGTTGCATCAACACCCACGAGACAACTTACTTATAATTACTTGATAAGCGTCAATTTATGGCTGCTATTGTTCCCTTGTGATTTATGTTGCGATTGGACTATGGGAACTATTCCACTTGTCGAATCACTTTTGGATATTAGAAATTTATCTACATTAATGGCATATGGTGCTTTAGGTTTACTCGCTGCAACTGCTGCGTTTACAGAAAATAGACAACAAAGTATTACGATTGTAATGGTAAGTTTACTTTGTTATTTTCTAATTTAAAATTTAATTTAAATTTTTATTTTTAGAGTTTGGCCCTTCTAATACTTCCATTTCTACCGGCTTCGAATCTTTTTTTCCCCGTGGGTTTTGTAGTAGCCGAAAGAGTCCTATACATGCCCTCGATGGGATTTTGTCTATTAGTTGGATACGGTTGGAGTGTGATATGCGAAAAGAAGGGTCGAAAGCTCGCTTGGACAATATTCACCGTAATCCTCTTGGCACACGGTTCGAAAACGTACTTACGCAATTGGGATTGGGAGAGCGAGTACTCCATTTTCATGTCGGGCCTTAGGGTGAATCAGAGGAATGCTAAGTTATTCAATAACGTAGGTCACGCCCTCGAGGGACAGGGCAGATTTACGGAGGCCCTACGTTATTTCCAAACGGCCGTTAGCGTCCAAGAAGACGATGTCGGCGCTCACATTAACGTCGGTCGTACTTACAACCATTTGAAAATGTTTAAAGAAGCCGAAGAGGCGTATTTACGGGCGAAATCTTTGTTACCGAAAGCGAAACCTGGCGAATCGTATCAGGCGAGAATCGCCCCGAATCATTTAAACGTTTTCTTAAATCTTGCCAATTTAATTTCGAAGAACTCTACTAGGTTAGAAGAAGCGGATATGCTTTATAGGCAAGCCATAAGTATGAGAGCCGATTACACACAGGCTTACATCAACCGGGGTGATATTTTAATCAAATTAAATCGGACTAAGGAAGCCCAAGAAGTTTATGAAAGGGCATTATTGTATGACAGCAATAATCCTGATATTTATTATAATGTAAGTTAATTAAATTTTAATCGATATTTTTTATTAACAGTTTTTATCATTTAATATTTGTATCCAATACTGATTAACACTGTTAAACTTAGTTAAATCTCCTAACAGATACGCAACATGGCTTAACAGGCTTAAGGGAGAAAGAGGCACATTGATGCGATTTTTGTTTAAAGCGGCCCTTACATGATCAATAATATTGACAATACCTTAACATATTGACAGTGTAAGGTGAAAAATTTGATTGACGGTCAATATTAATGGAGTATTGATAAAAATCCGGATTTTCAACTTGGCGCTGGCAAATGCGATGATCTTCCTTCCCGGTTCTTGGTAGAGGACCGCGGCAATTCCCTTCCCGCTGGCATCGGTCTGTAGCACGAAAGGTTGAGTGAAGTCCGGGCGTCTAAGTTGCAGTGGGCGGCTCAGTAGCTGTTTAATCTCGAGAAAGGCGTTCTCGGCTTCAGCTGTCCACTTAAACTGTTTCTGGCCCCGCAAGAGATCTGTCAGCGGGGTTAACACTTCGGCGCAGCGTGGAATAAACCCGCGTAGCCAGTTACACAGTCCCAAGAAGGATCGCAGCTGCTTCTTGTTGGACGGTCTCGATGCGTCGCAGAGGGAGTTGACGTGGTTCGGTAAGGGCTCCACTCCTCCTGGTGTAATCCGGTGACCCAGGTAGTCGATGGTTGTTGCCCCCAAGTGGCATTTTTCCGGTGATAACCGGAGGTTGTGTAACCGGAGTCGTTCAAACACCAGGTGTAAGTGTCTAAGGTGTTCTTCCCAGGAGTTGCTGTAGACGATGACATCATCCAGGTACACCAGGGCGAATTTCCGGAGGTATCCAGGGAGCACTTCTTGCGTCATCAACTTCTGGAACGTCGCCGGGGCATTCTTCAATCCGAAAGGCATGACGCGAAACTGGTAGGTGGCACCGTCGGGAGTTGTGAAGGCGGTTAAGGGTCGAGACCCCTTCTCCATTGGGATTTGCCAATATCCGGACCGCAGGTCGAGGCTCGAAAAAACGGTAGCCTGGCTGAGGTCCCGCAGCGTCTCGTGGATGATTGGCAACGCTGAGGACTCGTCCACCGTTTGCTGGTTTAATCGACGGTAGTCGACGCAAAACCTCTTGGCCCCATCTTTCTTCTCCACCAGTACGATCGGAGATGAATACGGGGAACGACTGGCTTCAATGACACCTTCCGCCAACATCTTCTCTACTTCACGGGCGATAAATTCCTTTTTGGTATAGGAGCAGCGGTATGGCGGTAGTCGAAACGGCCTTGCTCCTTCGGTGAGCTCCAGTTTGTGCTGAGTTGCCCCTGTGGTACTCTTATGGGAGTCGGTAAACACGTCGGGGAAGGCACGAAGCGTCGTTAGAAAGGCCTCTTTGTGTTTGTCCGGAAATTGGTGACGGATAGTACTGACGTCCAGAGCGGGCAGTGGCGCAGTGGGGCTGCCCCGTCGGAAGTACATCGTGGTCCTCTTCTCTTTCCCGAAGTGAAAACAGCCTCGTTGGAAATCGAGGATCACCCCTTGGTCGCGGAACCAGGGATCCCCAAAAACAAACGGGGTGCTGAGTCGGGGAACCACCAAAAACTGCTGGGTGCACTGGAGTCCACCGATGGTGAACTGGATTTCGGCCTTCCCGAGGATGGGCAGCTGGGCATTCGGGTCCGCTTGGGTGGCGTAGGTGTCTCCCAGCGGTTTATAAGACGCGACGGCTCTTGAGCTGACGAAGTTGCTTGTCGAGCCGGAATCCAGGAGAGCTAGGCTGCGCCTTCCTGCTACCTCGATTATTACAGTCGAGCGGCTGGAGCAACCAGGTTCCTCCAATGTGGAGATTACTGCGGCCGTCCGGGTTGTCCTGGGCGAACGGCCGCCGTTTCGTTTCCCGAACCGGTGCTGCGTTGTAGGGGACAGTCACGGTTCCAATGGTACCCGGGGCAGTACCAGCATCGGGGCACCTTCTTCTTGGGGTCCTCGTTGTCCCCTTCAGGAGTCTTCTTACCCTTTGGAGATGGTGTTGAGGGTTGTTTGAGGAGGCCCGACTTCTTCAGAAGCGCCTCCGTGCGAATTGCTTTGTGTCGCAACTCGTGTATGTTGGCCGGCGTGGGGGACAGGTGCAGCTGTAGCTGAGGTAGCAGCAGGGCAACCATCATTCCAATGTCGTCGTCCGGTTTTCGGTGCAGACGACGGGCTTGCAGGTGTTTGCGTTTCAAAAACGCCTGCACCGATTCATCAGTCTGCTGATGGCGGCTGAAATATTGGCCGTTGACTTGTGCCAATATTTGCGGACTGTTGAACCTTTCCAACAGCGCTTGGTGAAATTCCGCGAAGGACATCTCCAAATCATCGAATGCACTCCACCACACAGCGGCATCTTCTCGAAGAAAACTGGTCGCTTTCTTTGTTTGTTCCGCTGATGGAATGCCGGTGTCAGTGAAATATGTCTTTATTACCTTGATGAATTCTGCAGGATCCTCCAAGGAATCGCCGGTGAAGCACGGGGGCTCGGCTTTTGGGATGCAGACATGTTCGGCCAATAACTTTGACAGGGCGCAAACCTGTGTCTGAACGGTCGCACTGTCTTGTTTCGGTTCTTCGGCGGTCTTCCCCATCTTCTGCGTTTGGGATTCTTTTCCTTTCTTCTCTTCTTTAATCGGTTGGGTGGGCCCCTCTTCTTCTGAAGAGCTTGCCAAATCTTCCTTCGTCGGATATGGCCGTGTCGACAATGAACGGCTTCTCGTTGTTGGTCCTTTTGGCATTATCGGGCCATACGTTGGGCGCCAATTGTTACGGGGGATGGATTGCGCCGAAGAAGAAACAACAGTTGTTGAATAAAACGAAATAATTTATTTACAAAATATGTACAAAAAAAAACCCTCAAAGGTTTTTTTAAGACGAAAGGGGTCGTCTTCGAATTGGCGGTTGAAGTGCTGGCTTGTTGTCGCTGTTGTTGTCGCTGTTATCGTTGTCGCTGTTGTTGTCGCTTCGGAGTTCGGTTGGAATTGACCGCTGATGGAAACCCGGCCGCCTTAAATAGGCGCCCTTGGGTAAAACCCTATCAACCGGGCGTTGTGGTTGGTTGGCGACCGTCCGATCCGTAGGTCGGGTTGACGACCAATGGCCAAGCAGATCGAACGGCGCTCAATTCGTACTTGGTGACACTATCCTGTCTTTTCAGTTTGTTAAAAGTACTTTTATCCATTTGAAAGTAGTTCTTGAAATCATCAACATCGCAGAGGCTCATTTCTTACAACAGTACTAAATGAAAATATTTATCTCTCTTCTTCAACCATTCTTTCATCCAGTATATGCGTTTCACTCGAAGAGTATGTGTATGTATAATAAGTCTCTATCAGTTTGAGAGCTACTTGCATCCTGTCAAACAGCACGTTTATATACTTGCCTTTGACGAGAATGGTTAAATCATCTGCGTAACCAACTGTGATAAAGTTGGCTTCGGCGAGGCGGTTCAAGAGGCTATCCAGGGTGAGGTTCCACAAAAGTGGGGATAGTACACCCCCTTGTGGACAGCCTCGAGTAACTCCTCCTTGAAGACTGACATCGCCAGCCCTAAGCTTAACTATCCTATGTTTAAGAGTGTTCTCAATCCAACCACAAAGAGTCGGTGGAACATGCTCTAACAAGGCATCGTTAATACCAGAGAAAGTTGTTTTATCAAAAGCTCCCTCTATATCTACGAAAACCCCCAGGGCGGACTCCTTTAGGTCCAGCGCCCCACCAACAAGCTGGTCACTGAGTGAAGAGCCGTTAGTGTGGACTTGCCCTGAGTGTAAGCGTGTTGATTAGGATTTACTGGTTTAGTTGGAAGACAGAAATCTCTAATATAGCGATCACACAGTCTCTCCAGAGTTTTCAGAAGAAAGGAGGAGAGACTGATTGGTCTAAACGATTTCGGTGTGAAATAATCAAGCTTACCCGGTTTTGGTATGAAGTTCACTGTGACCTCACGCCACCGACTGGGTATATAGCGCAGCGCCAGGAAGATTTCCACCAGGTGAGGTACTAAATCCTCCAGACCCCATTGTAAAAGGGCTGGTATAATACCATCTGGTCCTGGTGTCTTGAACGGCGAGAAACTGTTAATGGCCCACCGTATTTTATCCTCCCTGCAGATCTCTTCGGCTGAAATCCAATCATCTGCAGTAGGTTCATGGTTGGTGTCCTGTTGTATTTGTACGGAACTTCCGGAACCTGAAAAATACACCTCCATTAATAAATGCAGACTCTCCAAAAGGTTGTCGGTATAAGAACCGTCAGCCTTTTTTAGTAAGCCAATTCGTCGTTCAGGGTCTGAAGCCAGAACCCGATTTAACCGAGAAACTTCGCTGCATGAGGAAACTTCCTCACAAAATTTCCTCCACGTTTCTCGTTTTCTGTGACGAACGCTTTTTCTGAACTCCGCTCGAACTCGAAGAGTAGTTCCAAGCGCCAAAATAATAGCTACGCAAGCTTTTGTACGATTATCCTTATTTGGAAAGGAAAAAGCGGCAAATAACCGAGTAAAACTACGTAGATTCACACTGTTCGTGGTAAAAAGGTAACTTATTGACAATAATATTGATCGTGTAAGGTAGTGAAGTATTGAGACTGGTTACTACGAGGATTTATGGTTGTATTGTCAATACTATTGATCGTGTAAGGGCCGCTTAACAGTAGCTGAGGAAATATTGAAAAGTTCTGCGATTTTGGTAAAATTTAGAGTAGGCCTTTCCGTCTATCCCTTAATTGTCAAAGTTGAATTAAATTTGAATTGAATTGAATAAATCACCCATCATCCAACCTGATTTAGAAGCTAAGCCAAGTGAGCAGCTTTTCGCGTCATTCAGGAAGTAATTTTTGAATCTAACTCTAGGGCATATAAAAACTGGAGAAACTATTGAACCACACGCACTGATAATTCCACAAAAAGTAACTAACTGACCACGTTCACCCGATACAATTTGGCCTACTTGCTTTTTTCCTGAAAAAATAATTGCACCTATTTCTGAAATCACTCTAGGTGTTGGCAACACTGTGGTTATACCAGTTTCGTCAATGTTGTAAATTCCATCTGCACTAAATTTGTATTTTTCCATCACTGACAAGTAATTATTAAAAAATTCATCAACGGTGTTTCCAATCGTCAGTCAATGTGCAGTGCAATGGTCTTAACGAACGTTAATACCTACCTTGCTCGGTGAAAAGTCATTCAGATCCTTTGGGGAGATGAACTGCGACTCAAAAATCGAGAATCTCATACAATTAACAGCAAGGCAGTGGCATAAAACATGCTCAACCGTCTCCTCATCTTCTGCACATAGTCGGTATTCAACATCGTCGGCTAGACCCAACAAGTTGAGGTGTGTTTTCAATCGGCAGTGCCCAGTTGTATGTTTGGCCATCGCAAATGATACACCAACTGCTAGTTCTGGCCCCACAAACGCTTTAACGTTGCCCTCTCCTGCTAGGTTATTTGCCGCTTCATTGCCAGCAACCTCAGAGTGACCTGGGACCCAGATCAGAGAAACTCTGTTATCACAACTCAGTGTGATTATTGTTTTTTTTTACAGTCCTGCAGCGCCTGGATCATGATCATGTTCTTTACCCGTCTCTCAAGAAAGATTTTAGCACCCACGTCAATAGCAAATACTTCCGCCTGGAATACAGTACAGTACGTACCCAGACTGTAAGCTTGCTTACTTCAAAATGTCTGGCAGTATACTCCTGCCCCGACCTCTTTCGGCGTTTTTAACCCATTTGCCTGAATCAGAGAATTTTTGGTTTTTATGCCAGGACTGCCGTTTAGGCAGTACAATCTGGTATTGAGCATTAATCACTGATATGGATCCCTCCAAATCTGGCGGCATTGATGACACAGTATCAGTGCGGCAAAAAGCCACCTAAAACAAATAATCAACAGTTGGGAGATTTCAAAGGTAGCCTTATGCTGGAAAAAGCTTCCAGGTCACAGACAAGCGAATGATAACTGCGTCGCAAAACAAAACCAAAGAGGTTTTATGCCTCAGCAAAGGGGATCTAAGGACGCTTTCAGGTTACCTGACCGACCATGCGGCTCTAAAATACCATCTCTTCCAAATCGGACAAGCAGAGGATCAAACCTCTCTTCACACCTACCGACATAAAGGTTCAAGACCTCAGGGCAATAGTAAGGTTCATCAAGGACCTTTTTTTAGACATTTGCCCTAAACTTTTGGAGGGCTAAAGTTACAATAGATCTTATAGGTTGCGGTAACGAGAGGGGCCGCTCATCTCAGCTTGGCAGCAATAATAATAATAATAATAATCAGTGCTTATGTCTTCCGCAGCCCATTTATAGGACATGTCGGAACAGTTTTGATCATATTGCTTAAATCTGCAAATAGTAGTTCTAGCCACTTTCTGTATGTGTAAATGCAAAGGAGATAGGCCAAGCAGAACTTCCATTGCTAGAGTTGGCGTTGTGCTTATTGCACGAGAGATTGCTAATCCAAAGTAACTTTACTGATACTGAGGTTTGTCGGATTTTCCTATACAAAGCTGCTGCTCCGTATGTGATCATAAGTCTAACCACAGTCATATAGAGCCAGTACAGTCTTTTAGGGGTAAAACCCCAACTTTTTCCATAAAGACTACGACGCTTTGTGTAACACTTTCTGCAAATGTCCATTCCATGAGAGGATTTTGTCTAGGATTACTCCTACATATTTGACTTCCTTTGAGAAAGGAATTTTTTCAACTTGGATAGTTGGGCGGATTAATCCATCCAACTTTCGTCTCCTGGTGAAGGGCATAACAATTGTTTTTTGCGGGTTTATATCTCCCTTATTGAGTGAGTATCCTCGAGAAACAGGTTCCTTTAACCATAACGACAATGTCATCAGCATAAGCTTGTATTTCTACACCAACGGCTTCGACCAGCGCAATCAGCAAGGTTTATATATAAAAGGTTGTCTAGGTTCGTACGCAACCATACTGCGCATTACGTCACATGTGGAAAATAATACCGCCAAGCAATTCAAATTAAACAAATGCATGGAGCACCACATGGCCATGAGGTTGCGTGCGCAATCCGTGATCGCTTACGTCACGAAACACTCCTGCTCTTGCCCTTCGCCCACAAACTAAAATCAAAGTATTGCAGCATAGGAACTTAGACAACCTTTAATATATAAACCTTGCGCAATCAGATCATCAAGCAGAAGGGACCAAAGCAGGGTAGAGTTGCTTTCACTCCCCTGTTAATAGCAGGTCTTTTAAGAGATTGTGGTATTGCGTTCTTGAATGAGCACCTTCTATATCCAGAAACATATAAAACAAGATCTCTTTATCCTGGAGCGTCCTGGATACTATATCAACCAAGTTGTGTAGACTCAATTCCAGAACTTTTTCAAGGGTCTTCAACAGATATGATGTTGCGCTGATGGGTCGAAAGGCTTTAAGAGTAGGGATCGAATGGCCCAGTTTAGGTATATAAGATACCTTCACTTTAGTCCATTCTGCCGGTCCATATTTCCAGGCGACACTCGCTCTGAAAATGTTTACCAAAATAGGCAACAATAATGACCTTCCTTACTATAACAAAGCACGAAAGATATTATCTTCTCCGGGCGATTTGAACGGCTTAAACGTTTGAATCGCTTGGTCGACGGATGTGCAAGTGACGACTTTTCTAGCCACACCCCAATCCGTATTTGAGAGACGTTTTGCCATGCAGGAATAGCCCGCTGTGACATTATTAGCCCCCATCATCAAGCTTCCTGGGTAGTGAGTCTGCATGAGAAGTTCTAACGAGGCTCTGATGGAGTGCCACGAATCTCTAGTGAGAATCTTGTGAATTCTTGCACTGCTAGGTGTGTATTTCACTTCTCTTGTCTTCCAGAGCTAAGAGATTCGTTCCACCAGGGTGTGTCCCGATTATTGCCACTGTGGTAGGCTGAATGAACTGCCAGAGAGATCTGCTCCGTGGCTATTTCAATCTGATCTCAGTTCTTAACGGTAGCGATGACACTAGTTAGGTTATCTGCAAGGCAACTCTTAAGCAGATCCTAATTAGTGCTCCAGGAGGTTATATTTGAGCTTATCATGATTGAGCTGAACGTAATGTCAAGTACCTCTGCTCTATTTCTGGTAACAAAGGTTGGTTTGGCGCCTACATTATTAACAGTAAGCCCCTCCCCTAATAGGTAGGCAAAAAGCAATTAACCTCTTTTATTTATGTCAGTGCTTGGCAGATACGCGACAAATAATGCAACTAAATTTTGTGGTCACCGAACATTTTTGTTTGATTAAGCGTCATTATTGCAAGTATGCAACCAATATCACAGTATATGTGTTGCAATACGCAAATCGCGTATTATAAAATAAATACTGTGATATTGGTTGCATACTTGCAATGATGACGTAATTAGTTAACACACTGTATTTAACTGCAAAAATACAGTAGAAAAAATCAACCAAATTTTTTTTGTTACAGTTAGGAGTTGTTTTCTTGGAACAAGGAAAAGCTTCACAAGCTTTGGCCTATTTAGACAAAGCGTTAGAATTCGATCCGGATCACGAACAAGCCCTACTTAATTCGGCAATTCTATTACAAGAATTCGGCAGACCGGAACTAAGAAAAATTGCGAGAGAAAGACTTTTAAAGTTACTGGCGAAAGACGAAAGTAACGAACGCGTGCACTTCAACTTGGGAATGTTAGCAATGGACGATAAGGATATCGAAGAAGCGGAACATTGGTTTAGAAGAGCGGTGCATCTTAAAAACGATTTTCGCAGCGCCCTTTTCAACTTGGCTTTACTCCTAGCTGACGATCAAAGACCTTTGGAGGCAGCGCCGTTTTTAAATCAATTGGTGAAATATCATCCTGATCATGTTAAAGGATTAATTTTATTGGGGGATATTTATATTAATAATATTAAAGATCTTGATGCAGCAGAAAATGTAAGATTAATTAATTTAATTTAGTTTAATTTAATTTAATTTTTTTTGTAGTGTTACAAAAGAATTCTTGAATTAGATCCAGAAAACATTCAAGGTCTTCATAACCTTTGCGTTGTCCATGTAGAAAGAGGTAAACTTTTAGAAGCGCAAACGTGTTTAGAGCAAGCGCACGAATTGGCCCCAGAGGAAGATTATGTTCTTCGTCATCTACAAATCGTCCAAAATAGAATAGCAAAGATGAAATTGAACGCGGATAAAAAACTTGATGATGTAGAAGATGATAATCATAGAAGTAAAGTGATTTCGAATAAAAGTATTGATGAAACGGACCGGAAAACGCAACCTGTTGTAACAGGTGATTCTGAGGAGCAAAGATACAGTAGTAGAGTGGTCAATACTGAGCCCTTATTTGTGAATCACGTTGACAATATTATTGATGATTTAGATGATGATGATGGGGAGGGGAGTGTTGAGAGGGGTAGACAGAGAAAGTTGGGGGAATTTGGGGCTGATAATGATGACCCATCATCTGGCATGTCTTAGCACTAGTTGAGTAATTCGCACTTGTACAAATGTTTCGTCGATTTTTAAAAACCGGTGTAAGAGTAAATGAAATTATATATATTATAAATATATTCTATCTATAAAACAACTTTTTATACGAGCCATATTAGAAGTAGAGAGTCGTTGTTTCTGTGATACTCAGATCGATATTTAATTTTATTTCTTTTGGTTGCTCTATGTGGAAAATTGTAACGGTTACAGGAGCGACGTAACCCGACTTTCTTCAATGTTTCCCCGTATTTAAAATTCAATTATATAATGTAAACGGGTTGAAGATGTATATTTAGTCAATGTACCTATGTGTTTAACCCATGTGATTTGAACTAGTTGTGATTAGAATTGTTGCTTTATGCTATCTATATTTTTTTACTTGCTTTTTCTTTCAAATGTTTGATTTAAATTAATTAAATTAAACAATAATAACTCTGGAATTGGTATTTGTTTCGAAAAAACTTATTAATTTAAAAAACAAAACTGGACTTAAAAATATTAAATAAAAAAAAATGGAAACAGACAAAACAAAACAAAACAAGAAAGTAAATGTTTCAATGTTTCGGCTTTAGCCCATAGATTTAGATTTGTAATGAAGTACCCACGTGGCCAAAAAAAAAATAAATAAAAATTCTTATTATATTTTAGATTTCTTAGCGGACTTGATATTATTCATACGTATATTGTAACAAATTAGATGAAAATTTCTCCAAAATGAGGAAAAGTTAAGAGAAAAAACATAAATTTTGTATTTTGTAATGGTGCCTTGACAAAAAACACGTTAATTAAGGCAAAAAAATAAGTTTTGTAACATATAGTATATAACGATCATATTTTTCTATGTTGTCACTGTTCATATATATTATATACATATAGTTAATAACCTAAAACTCTATGTAAAATTTAATGTGCGAAAAACGGAGCGATATGTATAATTATATGGAGAAAATGTACTTAAAGAAAACTATAATATACTTTCTCACAACCAATCACTGGACAGATTCAAAATTTGTCCACCAATTAAAAAACTCTTTACTTACATTATATTTTCCCCCCAATACGTATACTTAATTCGACAATCTTCATTCAAATCAGACAAGAGACTTAATGTATTTATTCCGTCGCTTCGTTTAAAGATGAGAAGAAAACGAGGCGAACGCAAAAAGATGAAAAATAAAAACCTATATTATAAACGATTATTGTCGATAACTTAAAAATGAAAAATTTACTGATGAAGACTCTAATGTATTAACTTAAAGAACTTGTTGTAAAATGTGTATTTGTAATAAAGAAATTTGTGAAGTAAATCGTTTCATAATTTTGTTTAAACATAGTATATCTGGAATTGTTTTGATTTTAAATCCCCTACGTTGATAATAATGATATTTAGGTTATATTTGCTTTCAGATAACGTTTCATTGATCAATTATAAACAATTCTTATCTGAAATATTTTCCCTTCGCATTTATGATTTTCTAGATACAATACAGACTGTGAAGATATAAAATAATTTGTTTAAATATATCGAATTTGGAATATTTTTGATTTTAAATCCGCTACGTTGGTAATTATGATATTTAGGTTATATTTACTTGCAGATAACGTTCCATTGATTAATTATAAACAATTTTTATCCGAAACATTTTCCCCCAGCACTTTTAATTTTCCTCATACAATGCAAAGTTTGTCCAAAAACGTCAATTTTGAGGTTTGGCGATTTTATGCGTTATAACTAACAATACGAAATAGTTAGAAAGAAATCGTGTATGGATAATGTTTTTATGCATTGTTATGAACAATTTTTATCAACATCATTCTCACCTACAGATTTTAACTTTGAAGATATAAAATATTTTGTTTAATTATATCGAATTTGGAACATTTTTCATTTTAAATCCGCTAGGTTTTTAATTATGATATTTAGGTTATATTCACTTGCGGATAACGCTTCATTGATTAATAATAAACAATTCTTCTCTGAAATATTTTCCCCTAGCATTTATAATTTTCCACGTACAATGCAAATTTTGTCCAAAAGCGTCAATTTTGAGGTTTTGCCATTTTATGTTATCATTCAAAATACGTAATAATTAGGACGAAATCGTTTATGGATAATGTTTTTATGCATTATTATGAACAATTTTTATTAACATCATTCTCACCTATAGGTTTTAATTGTAAAGATATAAAATAATTTGTTTAAATATATCAAATTTGGAATATTTTTGATTTTAAATCCGCTAGGTTGGTAATAATGATATTTAGGTTATAATCACTTGCAGATAACGTTTCATTGACTAATTATAAACAATTCTTATTCGAAACATTTTCCCCTAACATTTATAATTTTCCAGATACAATGAAAATTTTATCCAAGAACGTCAATTTTGAGGTTTAGCTATTTTATGCCTTATAACTAAAAATACGAAATAGTTGCAAAGAAATCGTTTGTGGATAATGTTTTTATGCATTATTATGAACAATTTTTCTTAACATCAGGTTTTAACTGTAAAGATATAAAATAATTTGTTTAAACATTTCGAATTTGGAACATTTTTGATTTTAAATCCGCTAGGTTGGTAATAATGATATTTAGATTATATTTACTTACAGATAACGTTTCATTGATTAATTAAAAACAATTTTTATCCGAAACATTTTCCCCCAGCATTTATAATTTGCCAGATACAATGCAAATTTTGTCCAAAAGCGTTAATTTTGAGGTTTTGCCATTTTATTGGTTATAACTGAAAACACGAAATAGTTAAAAAGAAATCGTTTATGGATAAAGTTTTTATGCATTATTATGAACAATTTTTATTAACATCATTCTTACCTACAGATTTTAATTTTGAAAATATAAAATAATTTGTTTAAATATATCGAATTTTGAATATTTTTGATTTTAAATCCGCTAGGTTGGTAATAATGATATTCAGGTTATAATCACTTGCGGATAACATTTCATTGATTAATTATAAACAATTCTTATTCGAAACATTTTTTCCTACCATTTTTAATATTCGATTTAGAATAAAGATTTTGTAAAAACGTCAATTTTTTAAATTTGTTGATTTTATATACCGTACAACTAAGAATACGAAATAGTCGGAAAAAAATCATTTGTAGATTCCATTTTTATGCATTTTTATAAACAATTTTTATTAATAAGATTTTCATTTATTGTTTTTTACTTTTGAGTTATAAAGTACTTTGTATATGTCAAATTTGAAATATTTTTGATTTTAAATCCGCTAGGTTGGTAATAATGATATTTAGGTTATAATCACTTGCGGATAACGTTTCATTGATTAATTATAAACAATTCTTATCCGAAACATTTTTTCCTACCATTTTTAATAATCGATTTAGAATAAAGATTTTGTAAAAACGTCAATTTTATAAATTCGTTGATTTTATATACCGTATAACTAAGAATACGAAATAGTTGGAAAAAATCGTTTATAGATTCCATTTTTATGCATTTTTATAAACAATTTTTATTAATACCATTTTCCCCTATTGTTTTTTACTTTTGAGTTATAAAGTATTTTGTTTAAATATGTCAAATTTGAAATATTTTTGATTTTAAATCCGCTACGTTGGTAATAATGATATTTACGTTATAATCACTTGCGGATAACGTTTCATTGATTAATTATAAACAATTCTTATCCGAAACATTTTTTCCTACCATTTTTAATATTCGATTTAGAATAAAGATTTTGTAAAAACGTCAATTTTTTAAATTTCTTGATTTTATATACCATATAACTAAGAATACGAAATAGTTGGAAAAAAATCGTTTATAGATTCCATTTTTATGCATTTTTATAAACAATTTTTATTAATACCATTTTCATTTATTGCTTTTTACTTTTGAGTTATTTTGTTTGAATATGTCAAATTTGAAATATTTTTGATTTTAAATCCGCTAGGTTGGTAATAATGATATTTAGGTTATAATCACTTGCGGATAACGTTTCATTGATTAATTATAAACAATTTTTATCCGAAACATTTTTTTTTACCATTTTTAATATTCGATTTAGAATAAAGACTTTCTAAAAACGTCAATTTTTTAAGTTTCTTGATTTTATATACCATATAACTAAGAATACGAAATAGTTAGAAAAAAATCGTTTATAGATCCCATTTTTATGCATTCTTATAAACAATTTTTATTAATACCATTTTCCCCTATTGTTTTTTACTTTTGAGTTATAAAGTATTTTGTTTAAATATGTCAAATTTGAAATATTTTTGATTTTAAATCCGCTAGGTTGGTAATAATGATATTTAGGTTTTAATCGTTTCATTGATTAATTATAAACAATTTTTATCCCATATCACATTTAATTTTAGTTTTAGAATAAAGATTGTTTAAAAGAAAGTTTTAATTAGAAAAATTTCTTTTTAATAAATTCTAATGGTTTACTTCTAATAAGATAATAAACAAATTAACACAAAATTAAGTTCATAACGGTTTTGGTTAACACTTTTAATCTGAAAATTTCGATACCTAAATTTCATTTGATCAATTTTAGTTCAGTAATAAAATGAGAGAGAGATAAATGAAGTAACACAAGTAGTAATTGCTTTATTCTATCTACATAACCATGCACACATATTATAACATAGTAATTCATTTCTTTTTAATTTGAGAATTCGTTTCTCCCAAGAGATTCTTTTTCTAAGATACAATTTAACATTACGGCGTAATCTAATGCACATTATATCAAAAAATAGTTTATATACACTTCGTAGTTACAGCTCAGATATGTACAAAGGATATAAAATTAATGCTACGTTAACAAAAATGGAAAAGAATGATTAGGGGGAAGAAAAAACATCGCGATTACATTTTTATACGCTATCAGTTCGGTTTTTTTTTGCTGCAAATAGTTTAGTAGCTCCGATTAAAATTATTTAAGTTACATTTTTTTTTTGCTTCATCTTTTTGAAACTTATTTTTAAGTGTGCAGTCCATGTTCTCAATATCACAGAGTGAGTCTGCAATTTTAAACATTGTACGAACCAAGACGGATCGAAAATCAAAAACGCTCGCTTTTTTATGAGATTTAAGAGATTTATATGAAATGTTTGAACGTCAGCAGCATTTTTTTTTTGTTTTGTTTCATAGAATATATATGTATGTACACGCGACGTACAAAGCTTTCTGTGTGTTTTTTTATACCCTCATTATACCTATTATACACGATTATTGTTCGACACCGACTTTACAATATTTTGTAAACTACCGAAATAAATAAAATAATTAAAGTGTTAATTAAAAATAATTAAAAATAAGTTATCTAGAAGAGATTTTTAAAAAACGAATTTTTGTATAGTACATTTTATATGTTAATGTTAATTCATTAAGAATAATTAATACTAGTCTCAGTCTTAAATTAATAATTGTAGGTTTCTTTTTGAACTTAGTTGTCCTTAAGAAGCGTTAATTGGCGAGTTAATGAATCTTCACTAGGTGTGACTGTTTTTCTTCCTGGAGATGATGAATCAGCGTTATGCTGTTTAAAAAAGAAATTATTAATTAAAATTTTTATTTCTTTGTTGATTTTATTACCGAATCTAATTCCTTTTCCATAGTCAACATATGTTTGATTATATCATAAACTGATTGCTTATTATTATTATTATTATTAAGATTGGATGTGGGATATTCAAATTTTCTATGAATAGCTGGTTGATGAAGAACCTCTTCTTTTTGCCCGGACCATTTTTTATTATTAAGAATCGGTTTCGAAGTAGTCGCTACGACTCTTTTAGTTTCCATCTTTTTACTTGGATGGCTCCCTTTGTTAAAGAAATTCAAGCGGTCTTCTTTATTAACTGCTTGAGTAGGTTCCGCGTAGTTACCTAATCCTTTCATTTCTCTTTCGATTTCGTCCGCTGGAAAATAACCGGGAGTGCTAACAGGGAATTCTTCCCAAGTTCCATATACGTCGTGATCATCGTGATAATAATTATTTTGCGGCTTATGATAAGAAGTTTTTTGATCCATGGCGTCATTATAAATTTGGGTCATAATGAGGTTGTTTAAAAACGCCGTGTTTACCGCGTCCATGTTATCGCTACTTTCATTGTTGTCGTAATAAGTGTCATCTTGATCTTCAGCGTTTAAGATGGGATCGGATGTTTGGGAGTAATCGTATAAATAATTTGGATACATCCCGTGAGAGTTGGTGTTGTAATAATAGGGCACGACGGCTTGGTAAACCTCATATTTTGAAGTTTTGGGGTAATACATTAGAGAAAGGTCTCTTGGACGATAATAATAATCGTAATATGAAGGTACATATGGGTTGGATTCGTACTCGTAGAATGGATGGTGTCTTTGCACGGATTGTCTGTATTGATGGAAATTTGGTGACCAGAGTTCAAAATCGTGCGATTTTCCAGCAGAACTTCGCGTGTACTTCTTCGTTCCGTAAATGGGGACAGCCCAAGCGGTCGGTGAACTCAACGCAATTATAACTTGGCACAGCAAGAGAGCTTGCAGCGCAATCTGGAACCAATTTAACCCAAAATAAGTCACTTTTAAATCTAATCGGACCCATTAACTTACCATTTTTATTCTTATTTGTTTTTATTTACTGGCACAACCGTCCGGCACAAGAACTCTTCTGAAGTGTTGCTCCAACAAGTTGGAGGTGTATATATAGAGCCAGCCATCCCCCGGATCTTGCTGCCTACACATTATCAATGAAACGGCAACGACGTGGGGGTGGAAATCTCCAAAATGCGGCACCGGACACCATTGGACATAGATTTCGACAGAATCGTCCCCATTGGAGTCTAATCTTAGCCTGTATTGATCCGCGTGCCCTACGTGCGCAGAGATGTTATTAAACCGGCCACGTTCTGGCCTGGTTACAGCTAAAAACGTCTCTCTCTTTGGGGCGGGTTCGCCCGATTTCATTCATAACTTTGGGGTTCGTGCGTATCCTAGTCCAATTGATATGGAACGGAAACCGATGCCTTTGGCAAAACACATACATGATCCTATTTGTATTTATCCTCTTTAATAAATGAATACAATCAAGAAAATTCCTCAAAAAAAAGTCCAAGAAAATAAATTAATCACCTTTATTTCTTCTTTTATAGTTTATTCCGTTGTTTTACTAGAATGAGTAATTAAAGTGTATTAAAAGATTTCTTTTTGATTTATAGATGAAATAGTTAAAAAGAAATCGTTTATGCATTATTATGAACAATTTTTATCAACATCATTCTCACCTACACATTTTAACTTTGGAGATATAAAACATTTTGTTTAAATATACCGAATTTTGAATATTTTTGATTTTAAATCCGCTACGTTGGTAATAACGATATTTAAGTTATAATCACTTGCGAATAACGTTCCATTGATTAATTATAAACAATTTTTATCCGAAACATTTTCTCCCAGCGTTTTTAATTTTCCTCATACAATGCAAAGTTTGCCCAAAAACGTCAATTTTGAAGTTTGGCGATTTTATGCGTTATAACTAACAATACAAAATAGTTAGAAAGAAATCGTTTATGGATAATGTTTTTATGCATTATTATGAACAATTTTTATCAACATCATTCTCACCTACAGATTTTAACTGTAAAGATATTAAATAATTTGTTTAAATATATCGAATTTGGAATATTTTTGATTTTAAATCCGCTACGTTGGTAGTAATGATATTTAGGTTATAATCACTTGTGGATAACGTTTCATTGATTAATTATAAACAATTCTTATCCGAAACATTTTTTCCTAGCATTTATAATTTTTCAGATACAATGCAAATTTTTTCCAAAAGCGTCAATTTTGAGGTTTTGCCATTTTATTGGTTATAACTAAAAACACGAAATAGTTACAAAGAAATCGTTTATGGATAACGTTTTTATGCATTATTATAAACAATTTTTATCAACATCATTCTCACCTACAGATTTCAACTGTGAAGGTAAAATATATTTTGTTTAAATATAACAAATTTTGAATATTTTTGATTTTAAATCCGCTACGTTGGTAATAATGATATTTAGGTTATAATCACTTGCGGATAACGTTTCATTGATTAATTATAAACAATTCTTATCCGAATCATTTTCCCCCAGCATTTTTAATTTTCCTCATACAATGCAAAGTTTGTCCAAAAACGTCAATTTTGAGGTTTTGCGATTTTATGGTTTAGAACTAAAAATATGAAATAGTTGAAAAGAAATCGTTTATGGATAATGTTTTTATGTATTATTATGAACAATTTTTATCAATATCATTCTCACCTACAGATTTTAACTTTGGAGATATAAAAGATTTTGTTTAAATATATCGAATTTTGAATATTTTTGATTTTAAATCCGCTACGTTGGTAATAATGATATTTAAGTTATAATCACTTGTGGATAACGTTTCGTTGATTAATTATAAACAATTCTTATCCGAATCATTTTCCCCCAGCACTTTTAATTTTCCTCATACAATACAAAGTTTGTCTAAAAACGTCAATTTTGAGGTTTGGCGATTTTATGCGTTATTACTAACAATACGGAATAGTTAGAAATAAATCGTTTATGGATAATGTTTTTATACATTATTATGAACAATTTCTATTAACATCATTCTCACCTACAGATTTTAACTTTGGAGATATAAAATATTTTGTTTAAATATAACAAATTTTGAATATTTTTGATTTTAAATCCGCTACGTTGGTAATAATGATATTTAGGTTATAATCACTTGCGGATAACGTTTCATTGATTAATTATAAACAATTTTTATCCGACACATTTTTTCCTACCATTTATAATTTTCCAGATACAATGCAAATTTTGTCCAAAAGCGTTAATTTTGAGGTTTTGCCATTTTATTGGTTATAACTAAAAACACGAAATAGTTACAAAGAAATCGTTTATGGATAACGTTTTTATGCATTATTATAAACAATTTTTATTAACATCATTCTCACCTACAGATTTTAACTTTGGAGATATAAAATAATTTGCTTAAATATATCGAATTTGGAACATTTTTGATTTTAAATCCGCTACGTTGGTAATAATGATATTTAGGTTATAATCACTTGTGGATAACGTTTCATTGATTAATTATAAACAATTCTTATCCGAAACATTTTTTCCTACCATTTTTAATATTCGATTTAGAATAAAGATTTTGTAAAAACGTCAATTTTTTAAATTTGTTGATTTTATATACCATATAACTAAGAATACGAAATAGTTGGAAAAAAATCGTTTATAGATTCCATTTTTATACATTTTTATAAACAATTTTTATTAATACCATTTTCACCTATTGTTTTTTACTTTTGAATTATAAAGTATTTTATTTAAATATGTCAAATTTGAAATATTTTTGATTGTAAATTCGCTACGTTGGTAATAGTGGTATTTAGTTTATAATCACTTGCAGATACGTTTCATTAATAATAATTTTAATTTAATTTTCGATTTAGAATAAAGATTTTGTATCCAATAAGTCAGATTGTTTAAAAGAAAGTTTTAATTAAAAAAATTACTTTTTAATAAATTTGGCAAAACACATACATCATCCTCTTTAATCACCTTTATTTCTTCTTTTATAGTTTATTCCGTTGTTTTACTAGAATGAGTAATAAAATTGTATTAAAAGATGTCTTTCTGATTTATTCAGTTCAAGTCAGGGCAGTGCACTTTTGCTACAAACTACCCAATCCTTATCGATTTCTTTCCCCTTCGCGAAGCAATTGAATTAAAAATAGTGCAGCTTTCGACCCAATTAAAGTAAAAATAAATAAAATTTTCTAAAAGATGTACTGTAAACAGTACACGTAGTCTTTTCATTATTCAGTTCGCGTCAGGGTAACTGCACTTTTGTAGCGAACTACCCCCTATAGTCGAGTGCACCACTAGCACATAAAACAGGGTAAATCTTTCATAAATTTAAAAGCGAGCTTTCAAGAAGCGACACACTTTTTGTGCACGTCCGTTGCAGATTTAACGAACCCTCTTGTAACGAAGGAATTGTTATGAACGGTTATAATCCGCTTACGACAGCAGTTGCGGTAAACATTATCGATCTCGGATATAGTCCAAGGAGAGTTGGAAAACAACAGGTTTATTAAGACGGGATAATTAAAGTCCACGATGTTGTCGTAGTCATTTTCATAAAGTTATTAAATTCACAACGTGTGCCCCAGATTCTTGTCAGTTTTAAACGTGTTTTCGGATGGAAAAGCAAATTTAATAGAAAATAACTCAGATCTCGGTAACACCACTTCAGTTAACATCTAACAAGTTATATTTAAATTTATAATGTAACGAGAAATAATTCAGTTATAATCCAACCTGTTTTTGACAGAATTCATATTTTATCTTAAAAGATATATCTATATTTATCCTCAAATTCCACAATTTTTTTTTAATATATGTTATATTTTAATTCATTGTTATTCTAATTCATTTTTAAGATACGCGGAAATCAATGCGCATGTTTTATCTGGGGATTTGCGACATCCCCAGCACGAAAACACGCAATCCGTGACGTCTATAAACCTCTTCATATTGATTTCCGATTTAGGACTTCTTAGATTTTATAGAAAACTAAGTTTGGGAAATACTCCAAAGATGGAGTAGTTTAAAAAATTAATTATCGATTAAGTATATTTTAAAAATTTTGAATAAGTTTTATCAACTCATTAACATCAAAGTAGCAGATAACCCTGGGTGTTGGCTTGATAATTAACAATTTCAACTTGAAATGTGATTGAGTTGGATGGATTTTTATGTGCATCCGTTTCAAGGAGGATAGAAGAGAAATGAAAGCAGAAATGGAGCATGCATTTGAAGAAAGAAGTGTGGTCCATATCTTAATACAAAAAGGGACGAGTGAAGTCGTGATGAACTGTCTCAGGAAAGTGATGGTGATGAAGGAAGGAGAAGAGAGATTTCACCTTCCATCACTAGTGCAATCAGAACGCTAAGGTTCATAAAGCATTTAAGTTCCAAAGAGGGACAAGTGAAATCGAGATGAACTGTCTCAGAAAAGTGATAGTGATGAAGACAGATTCTAACTTCCATCATCAGTGCAATCAAAACGCTAAGGTTCATAAAGAATTTAAGTTCCAAAGAGGGACAAGCGAAATCGTGATGAACTGTCTCAGGAAAGTGATAGTAATGAAGGAAGGAGAAGACAGATTCTAACTTCCATCATCAGTGCAATCAGAACTTTTATTAAAAAAATATATATGTAATCGAAGAAATAGAAATAAACTTAAAAAAGACTGGAATAATCATAATCCATACTTCAGCAAAATTTAAGAATTATACTGGTGAAAAACCAAACTTAAGGGAATAGTCTGGTCAGCAGGTTAATTTGCAAGAAAAAGTCTGAAATTGCAATAGTTATAAACTAGACTTCAGCAAGAAAACAGGAATTACATTGTTCAAAGTTCACATGAAGTCTGAAATTACTGTTCAGAGAAAACAAAAAATTGATTATAAACCAAACATGATTTTTCATGGCAATACTTATGTGTTCAATAAAAGAATGCGAAGAATATGAACAAGAAACCAATGGACTTGTCT